GGAACTATGCCAAGTTGCATTACCTCAGCTTTTTTGTGCACTGGTAACATACATTACCTGTTTTGAGGCACGATAAATTTTTAAGATGTGGTAAGTTAATCATTTAGTTTAAAAATAAGAGGCAAAACATACTTTACATTTGTAAAACAAGTCAAAACATAGTTAACTGTCTAGGTTAACAAGCTGGCCACAAACAAAATGAGTTACACACAGAATTTAGTAAACCCCAGAAAACTAAAGCAATAAGCTCCTTCAAGCTCAAAACCAACTCAGAAAGTGAAACTAAAATTAAGCTTTGGAAAAAACCAAACTAATTTATAAGTGAAAACTTCAGAGAGGAGGTAGTTTTTCCACAATTGACAATCAAAAACTCCAAACTTTTATTACATTTAAACCCAAGCCTTTGTAATTCCAGGTTTGCAATTAGCAGGTTTCTAACTGCTCCAACTGTTCCTGAACGAATACCAGTTTTTACTAGTTTCTAATCTTCCTAATCCTCAGCTTCATTTCAATATAAATGAATGCTCTGTGTCTAGATTTTCTACCCAACTTCCTTGGCACATATTCCTGCTCCTCCATAGCTGAAATTTTCTACTTAGTTTTAATACAAAGAGCACAGGGGAAAGACTACTAATGAATGGAGATTCTAGGAGCATTAGCTCAATTCAAATGGCCTGAAACTGGTTAATAACAAGGCTGGCTAAAAGACAACCAACACAAAGTGTTGGTGAGTGGAAAAGTAGGGAGTATTAAGGTTTTTGGTTTCTTCAACCTATTTCCATTTAACTTTGAAAAGGAAAGGGCTACCAATAGTTTAAAACATTGAAAAGCACTGTCCCCCAACACAGGGAGCCATTTAAAAGAAAATAGATAGTCTAATTTCACGTATCCATACGTCTGGTTAGTGAGCAAGTAACAAGATCCACAATGTGTCTCAAGTTGTTACTACAAGTCATGACTACCTCTTCATGAAAGAGCACTTGTTTGGAGAGCACAATTTAGTAAACAAACAAAAAAGGTTTGGTTTTGGATGTCCTAGTATCTTTTAAACTTCTCAAAATTCTGCTTTCACAAAGCTAACATTTGGAAGGAAAAGAGCATCTAGGCACCACATAAGCAGCAGAGGACTTTAAAAAAAAAACCCAAAAAAATCCCCCACAACTTTCAGTCGGGTTCACCCTTGCCTTCAAGGAACAGGCTAATGATGAGAACAAAGCTAAGCTATCCTGACTACTTTGTGAAACAGACAGCCACCCTGTCTCATTCTAGTGATCATGTACAAGATAAAAAGCTATTTAAAGCAAGCCTTTCAAACTCTATTTGAAGAAAAAACATCATCAAAAAAAACCCACAAAACCACCAAACCACAGTTGCTTCACTCTTTGTAGTTGAGGAGTAGGAAAAATTAACAGTGACACTAGAGAGCTCTCTCAGAGGCACAAAATAGAATTGGACTTTTTTTTTTCCCCAATATGGACAAAATAAAACACCTCTTGGGACCCATAAATCAACCAGGACATAATTTTTCAATATTATATTAAATTAAGACATGTCTGCCTGAATAAATATTTTGCTTTATAAAAGGGATTTTGCTCAAGAAGGCTGTTTCCTACAATACTTGAGTATTCACACAAATGTTGCATTTCTTACCGGTACCCTGCTAAGAGGGGGCTTTGAAGGAGAGGTCCCTGGTTTCACTACTGCTGTTGCAATGCTGCTGGAGGCTGAAATATAGCTGGCTGGGGTGATCACTTGCCCAGGAGTGGCAACTGGTGTCAGCACTGGCAAGCCAGTTGGTCCAAGAGGCAAACTGCTCGGAGGTATACAAGTGCTAATGGATGTCAGCGGTTTAGTCGGTGCAACAACAGTAGTTGGTATCCCAGGAATAACTGTCGTTTCCATGACCAACGATGTCTCCAGAGATACTGATGGATGAGCTGTTCCCACATTACCATGTTCACTGAAGAGAGACCGTAGCTTTTCTTCCAGGGTCTTTATATCATCAATACCAGGAGCTTTAGACTGAGCATCAGCATCAGCCTCCAGACAGTGAACATGAGGCTGATTGGGTAACGGAGCTGGTTGAGGCTGGCTGTGTATCAAAGTTTGCTGTACTGCAGGCAAGTTAGTGACTGGCTGTGGTAAGACACCAGGTAAGGGAACCTGGGGCAACATGGATGTTGCACCTGGAATCTGGGGTAGGACGGGCGTTGATGTTATTCCTGACGGGACCAGTAAGGGATGTATCGCTGGCTGAGCGACTGAACCACATATGCTTGTTGCTACTGAGGATGATAAAGGTGCAGAGATTGGAAGAGATAAGCCAGCTGCATTGCAGAGCTGCGATTTATCCATAGACTGCCCGCTCTCAGGTAGTGACTGTGGAGCACTTACAACTGTTGTTTCTGCCAGACTGGAGACAGAGCCGCTGCTACTCAGCTGAGGAAGCTGCAAAGCCGTATTCTGAGCCAGAGACAAGGCAGCAGATGTCTGTGGTGCTGCCATACTACTTACAATCTGAGTAGACTGAGATGTCACAGCTGGTGCAGCAACACCAAGACCAGTGACACCGGGAACCTGGGTTGATGGCAGTGCCAAAGACGACGGTGTACTGATACTGGGGGCAATGTCTCCAGTTACTGGTTGAGCAGGCTGGGATGTGGTAGGCAAGGAGAAAGAAGCAGGGGCGCTCACACTGGAAGGGACACCAGTTGATTGCTGTCCAGATTGTGAGGCTGGAGGTGGAGAAATAGAGCTTGGCACGCTTGTGCTTGGTGCAACTCCAACAGCTGCACTTTCTGAAGGCAAAGTAACAGATCCTGGAAGAGAAACACCTGTGCTGGAGGGAACAGATACTGAAGCAGCAGCCACGGATGCAGGAGGTGCACCACTGCCTGCCATGGTAGAAAGTGCAGGTGGAAATGGTGGTATTGTTTGATTGAAAACTGGAGGAGCTGTACTAGGTCCTTCTGTCATTTGAGCGTGCCCCATCTCAGAGAAAGCTTGCTGCAAGCTCAGTGATGATGCCGAGTGGGAGAGATTCATTCCAGGACCATGTAGTGGAGATGCAGCAACTGGAAGAACAGAAAAATGTCAGTCCACCTGGAAAAGTTCATTATAGTTTTATTGTGCATTGCTAGACTTTTCTAGCATTTTTTTCCCCTAGACATTTACTTCTCAGCATAATAAAAAAAATTACAAATCCAGGATTACATTACAATGCAAATTAAAGCTTCAGAGTCTCGCAGACAGCCTATCAACACTTTTTTGCCCCCGAGAATCCTGCATAGCACCACCCAAATTATAATCACTTCTTACCAGCACAGCCAGTTCCTTGCTTCCTCAAGTACTTTAAGAGGTCTTTAGGAACAGTTTAGTTAACTAACTACACAGGTTTGATGAACATGTCTTAACCATCAGATTTTAAGAGTTCAGATAACTTACCCATATCTGAAGTTTCTTTTCCTCCAGGAACAGATGGGAAAAAGCCCTGTTCTTTTAACCGACTCTCAGGGACAGGGCTGACAATAAACCGTCTTCCTGCAGAATGGACAACCTGGGTAAAGGAGCTAGGAGGAACCCCTAAACAGAAAGAAGTTAGAAGTTTAGTGATACTCGGTTGTAACTAAATACATAGCCTGCAATATGGAATGTGCACTCCATCATACAAAATAAAAAACTTGGCTGCACCCATCCGCTGAAACAGAAAAAGGTAACTGTTCAAAAAAATCACAAGACTTACCTATTCTTTGTGGCATGGAAGATGTAGGATCTGGCTGTTTGAACTCTAATTTCTGTAAAGTAAGATAAAATTTAAAGTTCTATTCTGAAACAGAAACCCACAAGATAGTTCTTAAAATGCTAGCTTACTGAAATGTGGGCATTTAAGGTAAGCAGTACCTTGGACCCAAGCACCATTACTTAAGTAGTGGAATTCTGCCCAGATAAATGTCAGCTACACTGCTTTTAGAGCTTCTCAGCTTAGTGACCACCAAGACAAAAAATTGATCTAACCACTCTTTTGTTAACAGGCAGTCCAACCGAGTTCCTTAAACACTGTGCAGATCAATGGATGTTTCAAACTAGTTCTGGGTGGAAACAAGGCAGAGATTCAGGAACTGTCAACCCCTTCTTATTCAACCTGTGTTTCCTGACTGCGCCATCCAATCTCTTAGCAGCTCAGTGGGCAGAGGGCCTGAGTCCAGGCTCTCGGTGTTTAGTGAGCAGCACAGGGCTGGGAGTTTGTGTCCTACCTCACAATAACCTCAAATCCAAGAAGCCTCAGCATTTAAGATGTCTATTTAGAGGACTGTTAGTACATTCAGCAGCTTTGGAAGTGTTAAAACATGTCAAAAAGCAAGAGGTCTACACTATTTGTCTTTCTAAATGAATTTTAGGCTCTCACTCCAATACGAAGTTTTCTCCACTTGTCTTGTCTTTTAGTTATTAAAACCTTTGATATTTCTCATGAAAGAATGTTTCAGTCTCTACCTAGCTCTACTCATAAAACCATACAACCCAAAATGGAAAACACAAAGAGCTAAGGCAATCTGCCCTTTACATACCTGTGACCCTGGAAAGAAGCCATCATCTTTTGTCTGCATACTCTCCAAACCCTGATCACCTTCTGGCTCCACGCTTACATCCTCACTTAGCATTTCATCTGCCTTCTCAATAATGTCTCGTACCTGTTCTACAAATGAGTCTCTCTCGGTTGCTAAAATAAACTCATTCTGCACCTGTAAAGAGAACAAAGCAACAATAATTTTCCACAAATTATTTCAAAACAATATATTGAATAACCATAATTTATTCTTGGTGTTAACTGTTTGCCCTCCCTTCACTGTCCTTACGTGCAAGATAAAAATGGTGACACCTTAGAGAAAAGTAATTGTTTCTAAAATTATCTCCAGCTCAGATATATTTGCCCTGGTTTACTCTTTGCTGTGGAAAAACATTCAATCTCACTACTTCATCAAAATGTCACCTCAATCTCTGCTTAGCATAGTGAAATTTAAAATTAGCAGCCTTGTCTTACTGCAGTTCCTCCTATCTAATGTAATGTGCAATTAAGAGCCACATTTAAAGGAAAACAAAACCTTAAAAAAAATTGAAAATTCTGCATTGCAAGGTATGGTCTGTGCTTCTCCCCTTCCATGCCATATAGAACTTCTACCTTATGCAGGTCGCACATCACTAACTCAAAGTCTGGCTGTAATATGTAAATGCAAGTACTAATTATGTTCCAAATACAGGGAGGGGAAGATTGCTCAGCCTATCTAGTTTCAATACATTCTATTGCTTTATAAAAATACATTCTGCTGCTTATGTTGGAGGAAACAAGCTTAAACAATATACTTGGCATTTAGAAAGACATTTGTAGTTTGGTCTGAACCACGAGAAAACTTTGTCTCCTGAAACAAGGCATAGTAAAACTCTGAAAGACAGTTAGTCTATGAAACAGAAGTAAAACCGTCAGTCACAGTATCTCTGCTGGGAAAGTGCCTTAGAGGTAAACGTTGCTGAAACATTGCTTTTACGTCAAGTTTCCGGGATGCTAGTTCAGAAAAAGGAAAGACAAGCACGATGCGCTTGGATCAGCCTTTGCAATACAGAACACCTACTAGTTAAAGAAACCTTCAGTGCTTTAAGCTGAGCAATGACAGACACCTATACGGGGTATGCTTAACAGTATCCGGATTGAAAGGAAGCCAGTAAGTCTTACAATCAAAAGTTTCCTCAACATTCAACAAGAAACCAATGAGCACAAAGTTCCAGATTCACTTGTTTAAACTAGGTTGCACATTTCCAGCTAGGTGACTGCATTCTGGATGCACAGTTCTCTTATTTCGCTTCTACTCATCTTCAAATATTTGTGGGGTTTGTTTGTTTTTGTTGGTGTGTGTGGGTTTTTTTTTAAATCAACAATATGCTTATTCCTCCACAGGATCACTTTAGGTACAAGGTGAAGTAAGACACCTGTGTATTCTCCCTGTATTTCATGGTACTTGAATTCATGGTATCGACATGTTTACACTGCCATACATGTCCATAGCCAAGGACTTCTTCCTCTTTCTCAGAAAGCCATTAGTAGCAAAGAGAATTTCTTCTGTGTCACTGATTTGGTTCCTTTTGACAGGTATGAATCCTGCACACACCACCTACTATTTTGCCACCTCTCTAACCTAAAAGATGAATGCTGCAACAGGTGCCCAAGAAGTTAGCAAAAAAATTACTTTGTCATACCCCCTCACATCAGTAACACTAGAACAATCTCGGTTCCATTCAGATTGTACCAGCCCAAGAATATGAGTTTAAAATTTTTTTTTAAAAAAAAAAAAAAGGAAAAAAGGGCTGGGGGGAGTGGGGGTTGGGTGGAGGGGTGTGTTTCTATTCCATGCTATGCAGTACTCTCATTTAAATGTATCTCTACAGGTCAAGTTCTTTTCTGTGCTTTACTATTATACATTGAATGGAGAGGTTTTGTCCTTTGAGAAAGTCAAAAGCAGCAGCAGTCATTTTGGACTTTCAGAAACCAGAAAGAGATTCCCATTTCAGTCGAGAACAGCAGCAAAAAATCTCAAAGCTCAAGCGTAAGTTTAATGTTTGCTCTCAGAAAAGCAAACAGATTTTGTTAAACCTGGTGCTTTCAAAAAGTTATTTGCAGTTTTTAAAAAAAAATAAGATTGAAAAAAAACAAAAGCAGATTTACTTGATAAAACCGCAATTCTAAGGTAAAAATGGACAACTTTTCATGTGAACTGAGCACGTGATATTAACTGTCAATTTGGCATAACACTCTGTGCCCGCCCAGAGTTTCTAGTTGTGCTCGCGTATCAATAAGGTGAGCACACGCCATGCTACATGGAAAAGCAATTCCAAAACACAAATGAGAAAATAAGACTGCTTATATTACTACTGTGACAGAGACTGGATTCAATTCTAGAATACACCTTACCATAATTGAAGCTATTTCCTCAGGGTTGTCACCATCCAAATCAAATTTGAAAGTAACCATTTTCCGATTGTGTGTCTCTAGCTGGCATTCCACCACCCGGTCACCTTTATTTGAAACCTAAAGCAAAGAAAACAATAGTTCAAACCAAAAGCATGAGAATCTAAGACTTGTGCTTTAAAGCTCACAGAGACAAGCCAATGGTATCAGTTTAATACAAACACATTTTCTCTTTCAAGTCTAATAAATGGTGCTACATACAGCATCACTTTTTCTGAGGATACATCAAATATTCTGGTACAGTTTGTGGAATCACTGGTGGCTAAGCAAGCCAATTTTGCCATATCTAATGCTCCAAAATGCTCTTAATAGATGATGTTTGGAATCCTGACTCCAGAAGCAGAAGAAATACACGGGATAGCTTGTGTGCTCATGGAGGGGGCCAGGAGCAGTGGCAGCACAGAACAAGACCACAGAAGACATACATTCCTCATAAGAAAATAAATTTTTGAAGCTCAAAAAACGCATAATCACTACCAAACTGTCACTGAAATAAAAAATACTCACATTTAGAATTCTCAGTTTCGGCCTAGCAGTCTTCTCATGGCGAGAGCGACTGCGGACAGACCTCCTCATATGACGTTTCGTAGTCCTCCCTTCATGCCTTCCGCTAGAAGTTGGAACATTCTCGTTGCCATCACTCAATCCTGAAGCAACATCAGAATGCGCACTAAAAAAGAAAAAGCAACTTTACGTTAGCATCCATGGACTCCAAAACTGCAACCACATGGTTTACCCCACCAGATGGTATTCTCTTCTGTTAGTCACAGAATAGGGAAAAAGAGTCCTGCCAACACTTAGGGTTGCTTGAATAACAATTCTAATAGTAATTATTTAGTTACGTATCTCATGCAAGACAAGTTGTACAAATATATCTTCTGAATATGTTTTTAAGCTACTTGGAGTTTGAATTCTGTTTAAGTGTCAAAAGGACAGAAAAACATCCCTTATGACCCATTTGACATTACAAATAAAAAAGGATTAGAAGGTAAATCACTATACACAACCCTATTTACTCCTTCCATAGCCTGCTGTAAATCAAAACTTACTCCACCTCTCATAAGCCTATTTTTCCTCTAGGAAGTTTATTTCCTCACATCCTCAAGAACATCCTTAAGGAAAAAAAAATATCCCTGGTGAAAAAAGATACCTGAAGATCACCCAAGGAAGAATAATCTAACACATGAAATTGAAATTCTGTTTGGTGAAGAGAAAACAATGCTTACCTATCCATAGAGGAAGCCAAAGCGGTAGACTGAGCAGGCTGTGTTGCTGGAAGAGTCTCTGAAGGAGCAGTCTGTGAGATGCCTTGAGTACCCTACAGATAGAAACCTAAATCAAGAACCCCCCCAAAGAATACTGTTCCTTTTCAAGTAACTCAGTAGTCTTCAATGTTTCCTCCCAAATCAGTTGTGAAGTTAAAACTACTACCTTTTTAGAACTTCAAACGCATCTAGACAGCTCTTTTTACAAAAGATTCTAGAGCAAACTGCAGTAAAGCAAATCACCATCTGAGGAGGGGTGGGGAGAGGAAAATAGCCATCCTTTCTACTCCTACGTGTCATTACAGTTTGCCATGCAGCTGCAGTCTTACAAGCAGAATGTGCAAAAGGCAAGCCAATGCAGAAGACAAAGACAACTCCAATTCTCCGTAGCAGGAATTAATGCTGCAGGGAATAGGCTGCAGCACTAGTAGCATTAGCAACAGACTATTGGTTGCAGTTTGTCTTTGATATGGCAAAAATGTTGTACAGTACTAGCAAGAAGTGAAGTGTTAACAGGTTTTTGCCTGCAGGATGCACACTCACTTCCCAACAGAACAGCCAGTGGCAACAAGGTCCCCACATTGGCATGACATTCTGCTGTAAGAAAAAGGTCATTTGAAATATTAACATCCAACTGAAGACAAGCATGGACAGGATTAGTTCCCCACAGACGTACACTGTTGCATAATTCAAACACCCTAATTGTATTGTTACATTATATTCAACATATTTACCTCCAAAACTGCCTGCTGCGAGGAGGCAGATGAGGCCTGTTGCGCTAAACTCACTGTAGGCTGGGGCACTTGAACCTGTCCTCCTAGGCTGCCCATGGGAACTAAAACGTTTTGCTCCGCATACGGCTGCACAGCAGGAGCAAGATAGCCCGGCTGAGCCACTGCATCTGCGGGTAGGGGAGGGGACAGGACAGCAGAAGGAATGCTAACAGAGGCCACAGCAGAGGAAGGTGCAACATTCGAGTCCCCTTGGTACTGGGGCGGCAGCCGAGATGGGAAACCCTGTAACAGAAATGAGGGAGTCAAGTTAGCGAATGTCAGAGCTAATTACGAAACAAGAGAGTAAACGAATAGTATCAGTTTCAGGGGCATGTTCCAACCTTCTGTACTTGCTCAAGCACTCCCAAAATCTTCCCAGAGAAGCAGAGCAAACTGCTCATGTAGCCAAAGCTCAGCTTGCGAGTCACCGTGCTTGAACCAGCAAATTCCCACCCAAAGCCTCAAGTCTCGCAAAACAATTTTCATCTCCCAACTCTCGTAGTTGCCTATTTGGCTTTGTATTTTAAGGCCTGAGACGTGAAACGAGTTTGAAGAATTTTCAGGCTGAACAACTACTGCACAGATGATGTTAGGCAACTGCTGCTGATTCTTGAGACTAGTGGCTAGAATGCTCTTGTGTTCTTCCTGTGCTCTCGTGATGAGCTGACTCGGAAACCAAGGAACATTCCCATACAGTTTCTGTTCTACAGCACTCCTCATAATCCCAGTGCAGGTATTTCTATATCTATACAATTTTTGTTCTAGAAGAGCAATCGTATGCTGAGTCACTATTTTTGTCACTATTCATATTGTCATTTTTACAGTGATCACACAAAGTAGCTGAAGCAGTCTATGCCCACCAGTCTACCATATCATGACTAGCATCAGGTACTTACGTCACGTTCAAGGTCCATGCCATCAGACTTATTTCTAGAAAATCCATGTCCCCCCATCCCCACCCCATCTCAGACTTGGAATGAAATACTGACATTGTTGAATATGCTGCCATTGATTTTCTTTCCAACATACATCTCCCATTTTCAAAATCAGAATTTTTTGAATTTTTTTCCCCCCAAGTTGACAGATCTCTTGGATATATAGCTGTCCTCCTTCACACAGTGGCTGAACAAAGTCCTGCACTATGATTCTGTCATTTTAGACAAATTCCATTGCCAAATATGAAAAACTCAAAGCACCAGTGTGTCCAAGGACTTTTTTTTTTTCTGCCTCCTTAAAATGGTCCTTTACCACACAACAGAATAATCCTGGTGGCTTAATGGCTCTCTTATGAGAAGTGAGTTGGCCAGGGCACACAGTTCAGACCTGGTACCTTAGAGGAATAGGTAAAAATGTGGAGAAGAGCTCTGCTGGCTTGCAACAATACCTGGTAAAGAGCATCTCCAGCAGGAAGTGAAGCTTCAGCAGCTTGTCCAATGCTGACTGGCAATCCCACGGACTGGACAGCCGGCTGCAGGAGCTGCGGGAGAACCTGGCTGGGCAACTGAGCTACAGGCTGCATCAGTGTGGGGAGCTGGCTAGGGACACCAGTTGATCCTACAGGGACAGCGGTTGCCGCAGCAGACGTCGCCAGTGTGAGCAATGGCTGATTCATGCCAGCTGCCATTGAAATGGGCAGTGACTGGAAACCTGGCTGAGCCACTGACACGTGAGGAGCTGCTACGGGCAACTGAGAGACTGAGAACTGGGGAACCATGGAAGTTGGCAAGGGCTGTCCCATGGGTAGAAAATGAGAGCCAACGGGGACTGATGGGGCAGCTGAAGGCTGAGGGAGAGAAGGTGCTGCAACAGGTAATTGAGGCTCGCCTTGGATGATCGACACTGGTTGGGAAACAGGAAGCTGGGGAGGTAAAGAAAATAGAGATAGATTTTTTTTTTTTTAAAGCAGGGTTGCAGAAAGCAGAGTTTTTACACATTAGTCAAAGAAAGAATTATTCAAGTTACAGCACTCTGTTAAAGTGAGTGGGGAGCACAGTTGGCAGAGTGGCTGGGAAGCTGGCTGGAGTTCCAAAAGGTCCTCACTTCGCAACACTTCCCTTGAAGAACTCAACAGGCTCTTGAAACAGACACCCACAGAGGGTGAAAGAGCAATGTTCTAATACCCTCAAGCACTGACTTGAGCATAAACAGAATCAAATTCCCCTCAACTCTGTCCCCAGAGCCAAGCCTGCCTTCTTACAGGAAAGAAGTGCAAATCTTTCAAAAAATCTGTCAGCTTTGGGTATGGGGACTAAAGCAATGGAGAATGAAAAGCCACTGTGCCAGCATTCAGAGAATGGCAGGGGATATGTCAATTAAAGCCAGCAACGATGCAACTGGAAAGGCAGTTTAGATGAACAAGCAACAAAACACAATTTTAAAAACAAAATCAAGGCTCACATGTTCAAGACAGAGATATGAGCCAAAATGAAGTAATACTCAGTAACAGAAGCTTCTTGACCAGGTAGCAAAGGAGAAGAGCTGAATAAGTAAGATGACAGAGCAGGCAGTCCTTGTGGTTCACTACCTAAATAAGTGAACATGTTTTACACACGTAATGGTGCAGAAGATAGACATTGTTGGGAAGCAGAGAAATGATGACAAGTTCCTGGAAATCCATTCATAATATACCATTCATCAATATGTCTCATGGTATTTTTTGACAATTTAAAGATCTTTGTGCATGGAAGTGCTGTTCCTCCCTCAAATTACTTGCGACTGCCACATGTGAAAGTGTTTCCAACACGTTTTCCAACAAAATTGACAGCTGTAGTACACTAAGAACACTATTATCTGGATGAATGTTTTGGAACCATTAGAAAAGATGACAAAAGTGAAAGTAGCAACATGTTGAATTTGTCAGCTGTGAAGAAGAGGAAAAAAATCTTCTGCTAGAAAGAATTTTGTTTACCTGTGTCCCAGCTGCTGCCTGAGGCATTGGCAAAATCTGTGAAGTTTGAGTTTGAGAGACAGTTTGTGTGGGGGTGGCGCCAGCAGAAACTGGTGGCTGCTGCATCTGGTATTGTCCAGGCTGTTGGGAAGAGGCTGGCTGCTGTGCATTCTGTAGTAGGGAAAAGAGGCAGAAGCTATTTTTTCCCCCCACAGAAGTTATTAAAGTATATCCTATTTAAATTCTACTTTTTTACTCCCTCATAAATGACATCACTGGTTCTTCTGAATATGCTGAGTCAAATAAGCTTTAGCAATTACTTATTAGCATTACTAATATAACTCCATTATCAGCACCAAATCTTGCAACAGAATTATTTCACCTGTGAAAACAAGAATGAAGATTCTATAAAGGAAGAAAAGGCAGTTAAGAGAAGAGGATGTTGCAGGAGATAGTATTTCCAGTTAGAAGAAACCATAAGAACAAAGTCTGCCTGTCTAGACAGTCTAACTTACAAATCCTAACATGCCTCCTCTTGAATGGGACTGCCACTGCAAACTCAGGCGGAAGTCAGGGAAGACAGACACATGAAAACAAGCATTAACATGATTCTAAGAATAAATTTCAGAATTAAATTTCAATTAAGTCGATCTCACAGCATGTTAAATTGGGTGAGAACCAGAGGATTCCTTTGCTTTTGTCCAAAACTCTGGGTTGAAGGGGGGACGGAGGTAGTCAATTGCTCTTAAACAGTCATCAAAATCCTGTACAGAAAGTATTGTAGTCCTGGGTTTAGGAGCTGTGATCTTACCTGCTGAGTGTGTTGGGTAGGCTGGGATGGCACAGATGCACTGCTTGAGGCTGGCTGGCCTTGCACCTGTGTCTGGAGGAGAAAAAGAAAAAGACAAGACTAAGCTTAAAAAACCCCTATGGTTTTGGCAGCAGGCAGTTAAAATCATTTCTGCCTGGAACGATCTGGTTGAAATAGGTCTCTAGCTGTCCTTTTGGACAAGCAGTCCTTTTGGCCAAATTCCACTATGACAACCAGAACAAAACAGAGCAATCTGGAAAAGTACGTAACTCCATTTTAAGTTTTCCAAAACTACCAGCACAGAAAGTCTTTGCAACCCACATGCCCCTGAACACGAGACAGATCAGCCTACCAGCTGCTTCCTCCGCTGATGATGCTTTAAGAGCAGGATGCTTTGGTGTGTTAACTGGAAACAGAGGCATTAAGTTTTACCTTTACATGTGTTTTAAACACAGTTAGGTGGGGGGATAGAAGGAGGCTAGAAGGAAATAAAACTATCTGTTAAAAAAAAAATAAATCAAAGATATACAGATTTCTAGACCAGTAACAAAGTACTCAGTACATGTACATGTTACGAGTTCCCTTTGAGAGGCATGTCAAATTACAAGCTAGAAATCACTTCCAGACTCACAACCATTCAAAGACTACCAAGAACTGGGTACTGAAAAATACGGGGGTTTGCATTCTAGCTAAGACAGAATTTCTGAATAAGCAACGAAAAAAATGGATGAGTGGCATACAAATGAATGTGGAAGATGCAGAGGAAAATGGAATGGATCTTCATTATTTTTGTGGCTGACATTTTTTTATCAGATTCCAGGACCTTCATTATTATTTTTGTGACTATTATATTTCTTTATCAGCTCCTGGGAGAAACCAGACAAAGACCTCCAGATGAGTTCTCTGAGCATGCACCACTTTGGTGAACTGCCTTTGTAAGAAATGTATCTGGTGCATAAGTATCATATCAGAAATATCTGCTAAAATCTCTAAATGCTGTAATCATTCAGCTTGCAGGAGCTTATTAGGAGCAAGTTTATTAAAATTACATATTTTTTTAATTACAGAAGCTTTGGGAAAGCAGCCTGCCAATGAAAAGAACCATTTTTTTCTTTGCTGTTTTAGGCTTTTATTGGCTAGGATCTAAATGTGTGCTACATCCCACTGCCGCAACATCTGTTCATATTGATTCAGCTTGTGCTTCAAATTCTGATTTTTAATGAATCAGATAAATTATCCCATAACTTATATTCTGTAAAATAACCATGATCCCTCATTGTGTTTTCCAGATATGCTTTACATCCACCAGAATTCACTTCCTGAAGTTTAACAAAGGTGGATTTTGGAGAAACAATCCCCATGTCGTTTTCAAACATCTTGTGTAGCAGTTTCACTCCACAAGTTCTCCTACACCACAAACATTACTATCTATTAGACCAGTGATAAAAGCTGTTTCAGCTTTATAAAACACTTTTATTATCCCATACAGAAAGCCTTAATTACTTAGTTCTTGATTTTACCACAAAAAAGCAAAAAGTTCTCCTGCAGTTCCTTCCCACAAATCCCAAAGTTGCTAATACTCCAGTAACTAAAATGTCAGAGCGCCTCTAATTCCAAGAACAAAAGGAGTAAGAGAAGCCTACTTAAAGTAAATCCTCTATTCTCACAAAAAATTATCTTATGAGAAATTTCAGACTACAAGTGCAGACACAATGTATAAACACATACACCTCACAGTCGCAGCGTACAAACGCATTACTGACTACTGCACATGTAAATACCACATACACTGATAAAACATGTACTTCCAAACTAACCTTTAGGCCTCAAATTTTGCTTTTTAAAAGGACACCATATTCTAGGCTTATAAGGTAGCAAAACAGTTGTTTGTGCCACTACTTTACTACTCAGCTTGTTTAGTTTCTTTAGTGATCCTGCAAGTACATTTCCACATCCGTATACACATACATAGCATAGCTTCTTCCATTCCTCTCTTTCCACAAGCCTAGAAAAAGCTCTTACATTTTGGACAGTCACCAAATTAGCCTTGTTGTTGTCTAATGAAACATTATTCATACGAAAGTTCAACTTCAAATAACACATTTCATGAAATAGCTAAGGAGCAGCAACAAAAATACAAAGCAAGTTTTACTATCACTGCTGATTCAAACTGTGAAGATACATTTCATCAAACCCACTGCTGAAGGGCCAATTTGGTACTCCGGCTATGTCTTGCCAAAAGAACAACTAGTCCCAGGAGGAACACTGGCCATTTGTTACCCTCAACACAAAAGCCTACCGATATCTCAGCCAAAGCTGAGCACAGACCAAGTGGTTGCTGACACCTCATTATTTCATTGCAACCTGGTACAGACATCCTAGTTTACTACTGACTTGGTGGAAAAACACCCCCGTGAATGCTAACGCTTAGAACCACATGGAGCAAGTCTAAGAGCAAGGCTCCCTTTTACGTGCAAGGTACGACTTATAAAAAGCAGAGAAAATCTGGAAGGGTTTGCTCCTGTAACCTGAGGATAGAGTGCAGGTGGTCCTGATGAAAGCGAGGTGGACAAGGCCTGCTGAGTCGAGGCTCCCTGGGGGAAGCAGATGAAGAGCTGCGACTCTTGCAATACCTTCTGAGGCAGCTGAACAATGGGCAATGAGAAGTCTGAACCAAAAGCAGAAGATGATCCCCCTGTAGGGGGAGGAGACTGGAAATCGCCAGTGTCAGAGGAAGTCAGTTGTGAGGAATCACTGGAGTATTCTGGGCTTCCTTCCGGCCAGCTCCGCCTGGCAGAGCCCCCTCTGGGACCTGCTAACTCAGGACCAAGATAGTTACACTGCTCCTCTGTCACAGGCTGAAGCCGACCGTGCGACCCTATGCCTTGGGTGGATTCCTCTTGACTGGTCTCCATAGAGCCCCGGCGACTTCTGTAGACCCGCTGGGGTAAAACTGCCCCTTCTGCTGAAGCAGAAGTCGGTGTGTGCACATGGAACTCAAAGACACAGCTTGCTCTGCCATCACCACTGTGAGAGAGCACAGCGGGGGCAGAGTGCGGAACAAATACCTGGTGGAATGTCATCTGAGCAGGATCTGCACTCAGAGGAGCTGAAACACTGGATAATGGAGAAAGGGGACCCATCCCAGAATCCAGCCTCAGGTTCTGAACATGTCTTGCCAGGTATGTTTGCCCCGATTGAAAGTCGAACACAGAGCTTTGTGGAGGACCACCTTGCCCATGGTTTGACTCAGAGACCTGCTTCAAATGTTGTTCAGTCACATGAGGGTTATAAGCTACTTGATCATATTGCTCCGATACCTGTGATGGATAGTGCATGCCCACCAAATATACAGCTTCCGGATGCATTCTGTAGTGAGCATCCTCTGGAGGTGTTGGTCCAGATCTATAGTCACTGTGGACAGGAGCTGGCTCAAACACGGGATTAACTTGCACATGCAGAGGCTCTCCAGCGACTCTCTGAGCTGATGTGCCCAGCATAACGAACGCCTCTGGTGTCCAATTGGTGGGACTACCACCGGGTGGAACTAAACTCTGGCCAGTCTTCAGCAATGGCTGGAAGTGGCAAGTTTGGGCTTCCAAAAATGAAGTGCTCTTGCGCCGCTGAGCGACTGCCACCTTCGGCGGGCAGACAGGTGGTGGTGAGAAAGACACCGGCCGTTCATGAACGGTTGGGAAAAATATCTGTGAATCTGGGAACGTTGGTGTTCCCCCACGCGGATGCTGCGGCTGTATTGACATGAACAAGACAAGTAATTCATACATTAAAAGTGAAAGCACATCAACATGCACAGTTCACTAGGCAGTTCTGTGAAGTAACTTTATAGAATGACTACTCAATTCATGGTCAAAAACATACAATACTTAGGAAATTTAGGTGAGTTGTAAATATCCATTAAATACATCCATGGCAGGCATAGCTATAAATGGAAACATTTGCTTGTGTTAGAGCTGCTTTTCCAGTCCAATTTCAATAATTCACAAAAAGAAACCAGTTTTGCTCCTGACAATGGAATGAGATTTATTGTCATGGGCTATCTATTGTGATCAGTGCTTGAAATCCAACCAAACCCCTGAGGTTACTGCCATATAGGGAATATGAAAATCCAGAACTTGATAGCAGCAACAATGCAGAGCATCTAGTTTGCACTTAGATAAAAATAATATTTAATCTTCTAACACAAAAAGCACAGTGCTAGTGTCCTGTATGCTAACCAGAGAGCTAAAGAGAAACCTTTTGAGACAAAACTGAACCGTTCCAGCCCACAGCTGAAAGTAAAAAAAAAAAAAAAAGTATGATAAAACTGCAGAGCCTACAGATTCTGCCAAAGTTGATCATCTCTTTTTATCCCTTTGATCACCTTTGAGCACAGAAAATGACTTTTCACGTAGGAAATTAGCACTCACTGAAATGAAATGTAACCCTTGCCTGGACAATAAAACATTCACAGGTTTGGTACCAGCAGAGTCCTCAGGCAATTCCACTCCATCTGATGTACTACTTCAGATGAGGCTCATCTTATTTAAGTTTTAGGGAAAATTTCACTAAAGAGAGTTCTATGTAAGAATACCAAACAATTTAGTAATTCTGCATTTTTTCATCTCTGCCTACACTATATGCTGAGAGACAATGTATTATCTACCCTCAACGAAAAAAATTGCAAGAGTCAGTAGCAAACATGCTGTCTTTAAGACAGATGGCATTTATGACTTGATCTCAAGTTGCTGTTTCCACATTGTTCTCTTTCTCCCCAGCCCCTTTTTTCTGGAAAAGCAGCAGCAAATTTCCATAGTGACCAATACTAACAAGAAGGTGCTACAGGACAAGGAGCTCTTCCTACGTTCTGAAAACTGGTTCCACTTACTTCATTTACAGAGAAATGTTTCTCAAAGTTTATTTTGTGTAAATCAAACCCCAAAACTGAAAAGAGACTACCTTCTGTCTTGCAAGCTATCTTGCATCTGACTTTCTGAGAAACAATAAACTGCGGCTTCTTCCCATCAAGAGGCAGCGGAAGTGGCATTTCCGATTAAAACTTACAGAAAAATCTTCAAAAGTTTTCATACTCTGAATTTCTAGTATCCCTAGCACAGCTAGCCAAAGCTTTTAGAATAACCAGCCACAACAACAAAGCTTTAAAAGCTAGTTGGTTTGTGCAGGGCTTAATTAACATTCAGTGCTTGCTTAGAAGCTGGAAAATAAAAAGCTGGTCTTTTGACTTAAGGGGATAAGAACAGCTAGTCTTCCCTTTACCTTCTGTGGTACAACTGGGTAATTTACATTTATACTGTCCTAAAATACAAAAAACCAAATGGTCAGCCACTGATGATGTTTAAGTGTACTGCTTCCCAGAAAAAAAAAAAAACAACAACATTCCAGCAGCACAGTATAAGGAATAAGCAATCAACTCTTCATTTTCTCAGTTAAAAAATGCCCAAACCCCAGGATGTATTTAATGATAACTTATCTTACTGCGCCAGGAGGCTAATGGTAACACATACAGGACTGACAGAGAGGGAGGGCAGGCTGGAGCGTCGATGCTTGCGTGGAGAGGCAGAGTGCATGGGCAGGACACTTTCCAAGGCTTTAGAAAGCTTTTCTGCAAAGGTTTCTTCAGGGACAGTCCGAAGGTAGAAAGGAGAAAGAGGTGCAGACAGCGCTGGTGGTGGGGTGCAAGGAGCACTGAGAGGGATGCAGGACATAGAGGGAAGAGCAGGAAGGTGGGGGACACAAACTGACATGCTACGACCACGTTGAGGCTAAAGGAGGAAAACAAAAGTTAAGAATTGAATACTTCAAAAAAAAAAATGAATAGCAAAACCAGCAAAAGTATAATGAGGTAGAAAAGAAATGCCGACACACAATGAGAGGCCCAATACTGACTAATGTGTGTGCAGGAAGATATGAGAATGCTGAATGAATGCCAACACACACTGGGAACAGGCTATGTGCACCTCTGAGGACCCAAGTTTGCCTTCGGTTACTGAGCAGTGTGGGAAGTTCCCTACTACCTTTACAAGAAGCACGTGGAAGGCAGAACAGACAGGAAAGGGTATTTTCTCTGGGGCCACTGATGCAGCCCATACTGTGTGTACTCACAGCATCTGGTAGTCTGACAAAAAACCTAAACAGATACTGATGAGCTTTCAAACATTCATTCTTAATTTAGAGAGTGGATGTGTGTTTACACATATCACCTCTCCCAGTCCCTCTGCTTGGGCACCTCCTTGCCTAAATTAAGTGGACTAACTGTATGCAACTGGCTCTTTATTAACTAAAGCATTACCACAAAAATTTAAACATTACACATCCTACAACATGAGTTGTGGAAAAATATTGGTTTAATGTGTGGAAAATTCAGCAAAATTAGTCTTAGACAAGCATTTTCCAGATGCTGGGCCAATAAAAGCATCAGGATTTTGTAATCTTGCCACAATCCAGAAGGCCATAGGTCAAAATCCAAGCAAACTGGAAGAATGAGAATTAGGGTTTGGGGTGGGGTTTTTTTGGTTGGTTGGTTTGGGGTTTTCTGTTTGTTTGGGGCTGTTTTGTTTTGGTTTTTTTGTTACTGCTTTTTTGGTGTGGTGTTTTTTGGTTTAGTTTTTGGGTTTTGGGGTGGTTTTAGTGAATGGAAAGATGATGATTTATAAAAGAGGAAGTCTTCAACTGCAAGTTTTCCTTCTCTAATATTATATTCCTCTTATGGATGTAATCCACAATTTCTTAACATAACTGAAATCAAATACAGACCTCCAGGGGAAACCAGTGGAGATCCTATTTTAAAGATTTCTGATATGAGAAATCTTGCTAGACTGCTCAAAAATTTGGGAGAGGTGCATAAGGGAACTCAAATGTTTAAATATAAATACTTCACTCAATCTTCATCTGTTCCAAGGCAGGACTAGTTAGAAATTAAGAGTCAGGAATAACCATATATAACTAAACTATTCAAAAACATCTCCAGTGATGGAGACTGCAGTACTTGACTGTCCCTGTTGGTTCAAAAAAACACCCAACTTCCCAAATAGTAATTCCACACTGCAATTTAGGTTTATTATTTCTTATTTTATCTGACAACAATGTTGTGGTCTGATTAGCCTCCTCCTATTTTACAGCAGCCTTTACAGCTTTGTCTCTCCTCAAGCTCATCTTTCATAGGCTCAGCTTAACTATTCCGGTCTTCCCACATAAACCATGTTTTCTGTATTTCTGGTGGGGGGCTGGTTTGTCACTCTCCTCTGCATTCTCTCCCAATTCACCCTCAAATTCACTCAAGCGGGGTGTCCAGGATGGACTTACCAATGGCTAAGAGCAGAAGAACTATTTCATATAACATGATGTTTGCCTTTTTCACAACAGCATGATGTTTTTGACCATGTCCAGCTTGTGGTCCAATGTAACCCCTGACTTTTTTTTTTTGGCAGAATTGCTGCCTAGTCAGTTGTGCTCATCCTGTACTTGTGTAGCTGATCATTCCTGTTTAAGCATGAACCTCGTTCTTGTCCTGATTGAACTGCATTCTATTTCTTTTTAAGGACATTTCTCCAGTTGGCAGTATTATTTTGACTTGTCATCCTGTCTTCCCAACAAACTGTTGGTAGTTCCTGTGGTGTTCTACTCCGTTCTGTCAACCTCCTAGTACCACTGTCATCATCACAGAGCACATTTTATCAGTGAACGAAGCAGCCTGACTATACCTCTGTCATATGCTCGTTCACCCATCCCCTCTCAAAATACTGTGGTCTTTCAACCTGGAAACTAGCCATCGTAAGACAGTGAAACAGCTTCTGGTCCAACATACGCCCACATACCAAAATATGGCTTACCCAGAACGAGAGCTTATTTAGAGGAATTAAAACCCCATTTGATCAAGGACTAGCAGTACCACACACTTCAGGTACAGTGCCTTTGAAAAAGATGGAGATGCTTTGCTTGTGAGTCAAACCAGCATGTTTTCTAAAAAGCTAGTAACACCAACGATTCTGTAATAAACCTACAACCACAGGTATCAAAAAAAAAGTGAGGACCCTCAGCCTTAAGTGTCCAATCTTCTCCCTTATGGTATTACTATGTTATACCATAATGTCCCTGCCTCAGATTTTTATTTGTGTAAAAAAACTAGTGACAAGGGAACCACTGAAGACAATATAACAGTAGCAGAGTTCTACTCCAGAGTTAGAATAGATTTCTGCGAACTCTCACACTCAGATCTTAAAACATACCAAGGAAAAAAACATACCAAAATAAAAGGGCAACACAAATGAACATAGTAGGAAAAGTATTTGTGCCCAGTGCAGACTTTCCAGGGAAAAGGAATACGCATGGCAACTGATGAGCAAATCAACACAAGCTAGAAATAAAATTGGGAACAGGGGTGTGGGGTCTTTTCAGTCTGAGTTCTCACATGCAGCATTCTATAACAGTTAAAAAACCAAAATCTTACCTGCAAAATCTGTAATCAAAGACTCACAGAACACACACAGCAATTTCATACTTATGCAGTAGCCCAAATTACATTAAACCCTTCTTCAAATCAAACCAACTGCTTGATCCCTGGTAACTTCACATACACACACCAACTTCCCAAGTGAGATTAAATGTTTACGTTTGTGAGATAGTCTTGTTCTGATGATGTTACTACCATCCATAAAAAACCTAACCCCTCATTCTGCTTAAGTGCTCTCGAGATTAAATAAAACCTTTAAAGACAAATACGCTCTTGCACTTTCCACTCCCCGCCTAGACTCGTCACCTTGCAAAAATAGCCCCTTAACCGCTTCCATGCAGAATTTGGATGACATGCAAAACAAAACATACGTGGAAGATTGCCTGGCAGACTTTCCTCTCGCCTTTCAAGAGAAATACAAAATCAAATAATTCCATGCGTTGGCAATGCTGTAAGTTGTGGCTTACCGCTGCAGATGGCTGATATCCTCCATGCTGTTGCGACTGCACTTGGCCAACTGAAGCTGCATATCCCTGGACTGCAGCTGTTGAGATTGACTGGTCATGCTGGGAACCATACGACACAGTCTGTTGACTGCTCACACATGATTCGGTATAAACAGATGACCCCTGGCCACTGTCAACTGTCCCATCAGCTGCAGAAGTTAAAGACAAAAATCTGCATTTCAAGAACTATATTCTGGATTCACAACTTTGAAGATATTATAATCATTCAAATTATATTGATGTTCGTGCCATGTCACGTGGACTTTATCAGCATTTTACCTCTTGTAATATTTAAGCTGGTTAAAAAAATTTTTTTTCTTTCTCAATACTCAATATTCCTTACCAATATGCCTTCCCCTAACATCTGGAAAAATCAGTAAATTCAGGCATTCTTTGGGAAGACACTTAATAGCGAACTATGATTCCTGTGAAAGGCTAGACTATAAACTTAAATTCCACATCATTATGAATGAACTTTCAGGGGTTTCTGTTATTTTTATTTAATTTTACACAGACATATACAACAGGTCTGTGGCACTGGCTGGCAGACGCACCTGATGTAGGCATAGTAGAGAACTTAAAATCCCTATTACCTAAAGAGCAGACAGTAATTTGCTTTCTAACTTCACCATGCTAATACAGAAGTTCTCATCTACCATCGTTGTTCAAATACCAACTCAAATACCCATTCAAATGTTGGGATGGCAGGTAAGGAAAACTTAGGAGTGTTAATTCATCTTTTCATGTATAGTATGTAAAACAAAAAATTGAACTTTTCAGAAAGTAAGTTATGAGCTGAACTGCTTGGACAATAATTTGACTTCCACCTTAAATGTAAGTTAACAAGGATTTAAGTGTCTCTAATAGCTTTAACTGCACTGGGGCAAGAGTATACAGCCTTCTGCAGGGCCAGAATATACTGTCCCTATAGGTGGGCAGCAAAAACTAGGACATGTGTTCATGCTTCAGGTGCCCCAGTTAGTGTATTAACTTGAAACACAGGAAAATTATTTTGTGCTAAGACACTGGACTGTGAATTGTGCCAAGACTTGGCTCAGCTAAGGCACAGGAATGCACCTTATTTTGCTGTGCTTTCTAGCAGCCTAACGTTCTTCAGCAGACAGCAACGGCAGACAGCAACATCTTAAGATATTTACTGCTATACCCACCAAAAGTTTAAGACTCTAAGGGGGGGAACTGTGTAAGTGCAAGAGCTCCTAAATAAACCAACTGACACACTTACAAAGAATAGATATACTGGGCTGCTGGAACTGTAGTTGTTGGTGTTGATCAGCTTCCGGTTCTTCAGGCTCCACTTGTGTAGAAACCGATGCAGAAGTAGTGGGGACAGCAGTAGTACCAGTGACAGATAGGGGATGCTTTGACCCTGCATGGGAAGCACTTGATGGTTGCTGTTGCTCCAGCTGCTGCTTCTGACTACCTTCTTCCTGAAGCTTCTTCTCCTGTTCTTCTCGCACCAACTGACGCTGCTCTCGCTTTCGCTTAATCAAAGATACCCTGTCCTTGATAGCTTTCGCCATTGTCTTGTGATCCCCTTCACAGACATAGCCAGATTCCACCTGAAGGAGGATATATTCACAGAATTCAGACTGTCATAGACAGCCACTGTTGTAGTGCTGCAACACAAGCTACCACTCTCTGACACTAACTTCTCATTCACAAACTTCTGAAGCTGCTCTATTTCTAGACAGTAACAGCAGAGGCTGACAGACTAAGCTCCACTGCTAGAGAACGCCAGTACTTCCGATGTTTTGTAAGACCACTGACACTTACCATTTCCTGTGCTACATCCTCTGGGACATCCCTCTCCAAGTCAAAGGAAAACTCTATTGCCTCATTATCTTTATATTTGCCCTTGAGTTTTTTGATGTCTTCAATTCGCAGCCAGAGTTTAATGGCAATTTTTTCTCCGTCATCTTCCTCTGCTAGTTCTACCCGTACTCCAGTCTCTTCTTGGAAGAAAGCATGATTCAAAAGGTCCTTAATAGCATATCTAGCATATGGGGAAAGAATGTAGCAAGCACACAGTTATTAGGTTTTCATAAAATATTACGGAGTATATTTCCCTGATGATCCTTCAAATTTATTCTCTACATTCCACGCTTCTCCCATGAATTATTTGACAGCCCATCGTTCAAATTTCTATTTAAAAGCATGATGGAGAAACAAAATGCAACAATGCTACAGATATACAAAAAAAAAAATACCACACATTGGTCAGCAGAAGTACCAACAGATTTAAGCCAACTGAACAGAATATAGCGTAACTAAAATATAAGAAAACTTCAAGAAACAGTTTGGTTTTACTGAACATTAACATCCAAGACGCAACCCTTAGTCCCCAAATCAGCACAGTAATCCAAGCGTGTATTTCAGTCTATTTCAAGATCTCATCAAAAGCCTCATCTAGTAAATTCAGCACTAGATAAGCACCACATGATTCCTTTCATACTTCATACTATTTTGAACTACTTCAATTTGCATTCTGTTTGGCACAATTAGAAGCTTTGTCATGAAGGTACAAAAAAGATCTGTGTTCATAACCAGTAGTAATCTAAAAGTTAACCATGTAAACTAAACTGCAAGAAATAAGTGATGTGCAACCACAAAAGTAACTTCAAATGGGAAAAAATATGAAATTGTTTAAAACTAAGAAAAAGAACAAAAATTAAAAATACACAGCCTTGCCATCAGATGTAAAACTTTAAGAGTTAATAGAAGGGGATGAATAAGCATCCATGAACTGACAAAACTAGCTCTGAACAGAATAGCAGGAGGCCAGAGGAGGACTGAAGGTTGAAGCATTTTTAAATCAGACATTCAGTAAGCAACAACTATGTAAAAGCAGAAAACAAAACAAACGGCACAAATAAGCCATCAGAGCAGTTACAGATTTCCTGTAATGGTATAAGTTAATCACTTCAAGTAGAAGTCATCCTGCAGAAAATGTAGACGAAAATGAGCAGCAAGAATTTAAAAAAACCAAAAAGAGCCCTCAAAATAATCAACCATAAAATGCCAACAAAATCAAAGGGACAGGAAAAACAAAGGATTACAGAATAACAAACCAACCAAACAATCCAAATACCTGAGAACCCTGAAGAACTGTCCTCCACTATTTTGCTAACTAGGTCAAAGTTTTAATAAAAGCAGTAGAATTTCTGAATAAACTGACATGGATGGTTACTATAGCATTTGCACTTTTCCTGACACTGTTAATTCTCTAAAACAATCATCGAATAAGAATCTACCAAAGAACAGAAGCTGCAGAAGTAATACTGACTTCCCAACTTTCATCAGAACACAGAAGACCTCAGGAACTAACTGGATCTGCTATTGCCACAGACAAAAAAAAACCCAAAAAACCAAAACCAAAAAACAAACACCAACCTCAGACAGAAAGTAATACCTCTGTCTGAAAAGAAAGTACCTACCTTTCGCCTTTGTTTTGCCGAATGCATCCCTCGATGATCTCCTTCACTTCAGGGATTGCTACTTTATCGAAGCTGGCTGGCTTGACACCCTGGAACATACAAGCAACAACAGAGAAACTGGAAGGCCCACCTGATTTACGTTTCAAGTGTGTTTACAGACCAACTATTTCTACTCAATAAATAACTGGCCTGAATTCCCCACCAGCGCAAACTATAGAGAAACCTCACCCCAATCTTACCGTTCACCTGTTTGTTACTGATTTTTGCAAACCCCCCCCCCCCCCGCCCCACTTCTCAGCTACACTTCCATAACAGAAGGCTTTGGCTGTCAGATTCTCAGTTATGATAGGGGAACCATTTAGTTTCCACAGAAGTTATGCTGGTTAAAGGAAAGTACACAGACTGGACCGAGAATGGAAGGAAATGTTTCCTGTGTAACACTAATGCATGAACTCACATGACTAATTTAACAGTCCAAAGGATTCTGCTACTTCCCAGAATGTTTCCAATATGCCATTATATGAAGTAATTTTGGCACAGATTGATTTTACAGGAAAAATCTTCACCCAGAATTATCTGACTGGATCATTAAATAACTTCCCCAATGTTTAAACAATAAAAAAAAGAAATTAAAAAAGAAGACTTCCCTGTATTTTAGGTCTCCCCAGAAGACCTATTATACCCAAACTACACTCCTGCATCACTGCTATTGTTAGTCCAGGAAAATGAGCTTAGCAATACAGACCTTTAGAAAAGCCCTTCAACAACACATGGCAATCCTTTCTCCAATACATGCTAAAGCCATTGGGGGACAGCAAAACAATATCTAAGTATGATCAGCTACTCAAATCAGTAAAGCAAACAGGCCATGAGATATGACCATCTGGGAATTCTGCAAAACATTGCAGGCAGAGCGCCAAGCTCCATCACTTAATCATGGCCAGAAGCTCTATTTTGGGGCAATTGTCTACAACAGCAAAATTTGGCACTCAATTTTACTTGATTCAGCCTTTAGCTTCAAAGTCTGTATTTAAGACAGCAGAATGAGAGAGGATTGAGACATCTTGTTCAAATTCTGTTATATGAAGAGCCCACATTTTCAAGCTGAACAATCCTTAAATCACACACTTGATACATCTGTCCCTGTGTCGCTGGTAAATCACAACTAAACAAATAAAAGTGAAAACCATGGGGTCTGAAGTACAAAAATAAATGAAATAGTAGGACAAGCATCATGATTCACGTCCTAACCAGAAAGCACTTCTTCCAATATCCTATATGATACTGCTGCCCACCAAACAGGGACACCATAACATGACCCTTCCTCTGCTGTCAGCCG